GCTAATCCAAAGCAGAAATGATTCAGAGCTAAAAAATGCTGAGTACTTACTCTTCCAGAGACAGGTTTTCCATCCAAACAACTCCAGCAGAGCCTTTTTCTCCAGAGAGGCAACAAGTCTGAGACTGATCAAAGTTTCTCAACCCTACATAATGCTGACAAGCACATTATTATCTCTATCAAAGGCTAATCATTAACTACTGCTCAGATTAGTTTAGGACTAGACCAAGCACTGGGATGCTCACACAGAGATCCACAGAGCAGCAAAAGCAGCTCCTGAGTCTCCCTCATGAGATCTTTGCACAAATGCAGAGATTTTAGAGCTCTGATTAAGTGCATTGCAGAGATTACTTTCCAACACATTAACCAAAACACATTTCAAACATTCATGTCTATCAGATAAATTGGTGGCTTGGTTGCTTCTGGATAGTGTAACAAAGTAAGTTTAGTTTATTTTATTGTTTAAGTATTTCAGTGTTCAAACTGAGAGAGAGCAGGTTTAGGTAAGATAATAAGAAATTAAACCCTGGGAGGGTGGGCAGGCCCTGGCACAGGTGCCCAGAGCAGCTGTGGCTGCCCCTGGATCCCTGGCAGTGCCCAAGGCCAGGCTGGACAGGGCTTGGAGCAGCCTGGGACAGTGGGAGGTGTCCCTGCCCATGGCAGGTGGTGGAATGTGATGAGCTCTAGGGTCCCTTCCACCCCAAATCACCCTGTGACTCTATCTGCCCTACTATGAAGAAATGTGATGTTTTCAAAGCTATCAGCCAGTTTTTAGGAGCATTGGGAAGTGAGAAAAAAAATAACAAGGCAAATAAATCATCAATTGTGCAGAAATTCTTCAACATTGTGTACAAGACAAACCTTGTCAGGGTAACTGGCTCTGGGACCCCTCTGCTTGGAAAGCTGGAGCCAACAACTGCTATGGAAAAAAAAAAAAAAGGGGGACAAAGCAGAAAAAATGCAAGAACAGCTGTGCTGTGCCCTGCAACACAAGGGCCTCATGGTGGGGGCTGTGGTTTCAAGCAAGAGTTACACAAAACGGGATCAACTGACAAGCAGTGCACATGATCCTGCTGTTATGATGTCCTGGAGAGTTTTACTTGAGGAATTCAGAAAATTAAGAAAAGTCAGGCTGCTGGCCAAGAGTGTTTTAAACTAGAAGCAAAATAATCAGAATCAAGTGTATTAGGCTTTACCACCCATACAGAAGGATATCCCACAGACACTGCTCTGTGCCTTTTATGAAAAGAGCATAAAAATGGCTTTACAAGTATAACCAAGCCTAAAACAGGAACATGAGGGCAGCTGTAAAACTCCCAACTGACCTTGTTCACAGCTGTTCAGGTTTCAACCTTACAGTATCTATAACATGCTCCTCCAGCACACTTCAGCCTCACGTGACACCACCTTAAACACTAAAGTTCAGCACATTCTCTTGAGATAATGTCTTATCCCAAGTTAATGAAGGGCATCAAAGCCAGTGGTAACTGGATTTGTATAAAACTCATCTGGCAGTGAACCCAGAAATTGTGACTCAGTCTCTTGTCAAATCCATTAGTCCAGGAGCCCAGACAAACAAGAGATCCAAGAAAACCAGATTGCAACATTGATTGCATTTCACTTGCACTGTCGCCTGAGGCTGGGTGTGCTCCTCAGGAGCTTGTGCTCCCACTTCCCTTATCACTTTGATGTACAAGGGTTGATTTACCCATTGGAAATGCCTCCCATGGAGCCACATTGATGGCAGCACTGCAGTGACTTCCTGAAGGCTGCAGGAGAGTGAACTGGGATGGCTCCACTGGGAGCACTGGCTTTGAGTCTTCTCCACATTTGATAGTGTTTCTTCTTCCCAAGTAAAAGATGCAAGCTGGAAAATGCAGTCCAGCTGTGCCAGTGAGCTGTTTGAGCCTCTTTAGAATGCCTTTTGGAGCAGGGAAAGTTAACAGGGGAAGCAAGTGAGGGATGGGATCCCTGGCTCCCAGTCCAGCCTCTGGCAGAGCCCAGCCAGGGTGGCAGGAGCTGCTGCCATTGTCCCAGCCAGAGTCCAGTTACAGACATCACACAAGGAGCAGGCTGGGTCACAGGGATGAGCCTCTCCCTGAGGGGGCTGGAGCTGTATCCCTTTCCAGGAGCTGCTTTTCCCAGCTCTCTGGAGCAGGCCAGCCAGTCTGCTCCCAGCACTAGCTCAGGGTGAGCACCACACCTCACAAGTGGCCTCAAAACACTTCTTAATCCTACAGAGCCAAGTCCAATTACATTCTCTCTAATGTGACACAAGTCTGAAAATGGATTTGTCAGGCAATCCTTCCCCCAACAGATGCAGTCTTTAGGAAAAAAAAAAAAAAAAGCCAAGACTGTCAGGGTTTCCCTTAATCCTGGTTAGCCAGATCAACTAAATATATCACAAAGCTCATATTCCAGGCTCCTGTACCTTCATCAGAGGAATGAGATCTGACTCCGTGATAACTAATGAGTAAGTGTGGGAAATGAAGCTTCATGGAAGTTAAGTGGCTCTTCCACAGTCTCAGGAGAGCTTGGGGCACTCACTGGGAGTTCCATGCCAGAACACCTCCACTCTGTTCCCAGTTTTCTCCTAACCTCTCAGGATTCATAACAGGACATGCTGAGCAAGCAGTGAGAACAGAAGAGCCTCAACCACTTACAGCATTTGGCTTGTGCTCTAGAGCTACCATGGAGTGCTCTAGTCATTTAGATAAAGTGAAAAGATTACATGCTTGTACAACTTTTTTAGCAGATGATAAATGCTGTTTACATCTGTGATACAGCAAATGTGAGATTTTTCTAAGATTAAATCCACAGAGAGGAAAAGAGCAGGAAGCAAAGCCATTGTTCTGGTTGTAGTCACAGTTGCTGAAGTGCCACTGGAAATCAGCTGGAGACCCTTGAAGATAGGAAATGATAGCACAGGGAAGAAAAGACAATGGGAAAATACATTAAAAACTGTAGAAATAAAAAAGCAAAACTAAAAAGGAGCTATTTTATCACAACCTCCCACTTCTAGATTGGCTTCCAAACCAGGAAAGTCTAATTCCAGGACCAACAAATGAAAGGCTTTAGAAAGTACAATAAAATAGGAGTTTAATTTGTTTACAGTAACTAGTCCCATTATTCTCTGCATTAGCAGATTCCAGCTTTCAGATGGAAAAAAAGGTTAATGAAAAAAATCACTGGCATCATGTTCTCCAGGACCTGATTGGGAACATTTCCAGAAAATTAGATTGAAACAAAAGGCAATGGAGTAGATTAACTAAGATTGAATTTCCCAGAGAAAAAACAGCATAAAACAGTCTTTTTCCCTAAGAAAAAATTGCCAAGATTCCCAGTGATTTCTTGGCAGACTTGTGGAGAAGTTCATGCTGGCAATGTGCTTCAGCTCAACTTCCCAAAATTCTGCTGCAGGCTCCTGCTAACTTTCAGGTGACCTTCAGGCCAGAGCAGGGAAGGCAGCTCTGCAGAGCCATGGCAGCTTTCTGTTGGGTGGAGGAGTCTTCACAGAAAAAAGAGAAACCAAGGAGGAAAGGAGAAAATAGCTCATTTTAGTTCAAAGAACAAAAAGTTCTGTCTTCTCTTGGAGATAATGTCTGACTGAAAAAGAAGCTGAAAGGAAACTCCTCAGGCCCTGCTCAAAACTCACCCTGTGAACATGGTAGATGTTGTCATTTATTTGTAATATAAAAATGACAAAGATTATACCCAATGCCCTCCCTTCTCAGACATTAAGCTTTTGTTCAAGGATATAGGGTCTCACTAATCCAAATCCTGAAGTTACTTTGTGAAGGGAAAAGTGAAGTGAAAAATCACCCCAAACCTCTTTCCAAAACAAAAACCAAACAAACAAACAAACAAAAAAAACCACAAACCTTGTCCTTGTACCACTGCAAGTCAGAGTCAGTGGCACAGATGATACCTTTAAAATAAAAAAGCGCAAAAGTGACTTGGAAAGGTGATTTAATTCCTCCTCTCTACTGGCAGAAATTATCCTAATTCTCAGCTTAGTTAACAACCTGGCCTAGATGAGAAATCTGATATGAAATGAAAAGCAGCCAAATCTCAGTAGGATATGGTTGTACAAAATTCCTCCGTTCTCACCACAAAGTTGTGTGGGAGCCTGCAACTCCTGCTAGTTCTTATATTTTCATATTTTCAGTACCTTGTTTTGGGGGGGGAGGACAACAAAAGAAGCAAAACCCTGCTTATTGCAACAATTTTTGTCTTTGTAGCAAAAAGCATAATTTTGTATTGTACAGCAGAGCAGCCACATCTTCACCAACAAATTCTCAGTACAAAACCAATCTTCATTTAAACAGCAACATTCACACATTATTCCCAGTGCCCCCTTTTTAATGAAGGATGGGAAAAAAACAACGCAGAGTCCAAAGCCTGATGAATGCCTCAGGAAATTACATCATAAATGACAGGATTTGGGATTATTAACTTAAAGGCTAATTTACCCTATCAGATCCCATATTGTAACTCATGAAAAATCCTGCAAAAGCTTTACTGACCTCAGGCTCAAACAGAGGTAAGTTAAGATCAAACAGATTAAAAATCAACTTAATAAACACTTGTGAGGAGTGTTTCATCCACCTGGGCAAAATAAAGCAGGACTAAGCATTCTGGAGCTTGGAATTCGGGCACAAACAGGATGAATTGGCCTCTGCCTGGGAACTGTGTGCAACCACAAGCCCACTGCACACTCCAATACAGATGAGGACTATGAACAAAGTTTAAATTAAAAAAGGAGGAGTGGCTAATATGTGGTGCTTGCTGAGTGCTGTAGACTGTGCTGCTACAGCCTCTTCCCAACCACACTGGCATTAAAACTGGCCAGTGCTGAATCCCAGAGAAAAAAAATAGAGAATATACACAGGTATAACACTGGGCTAGGAAGGTGGCGAAGGGTCTGAAAGGGCCACACAAGGAGCAGCTGAGGGCACTGGGATTGTTCATCCTGAAGGGGAAACTGAGCTCAGAACTCACCGGGGATTGCAGCTCCTCCTGAGGGGCAGCTCCAGGCTCTGCTCCGTCCTGAGGGAATGGCATCAGGTTAACCCAGGTCAGGCTGGAGATCAGGAAAGGTTCTTCCCCCAAAGGTGCTGGCACTGCCCAGGCTCCCCAGGGAATGGGCACGGCCCCGAGGCTGCCAGAGCTCCAGGAGCCTTTGGCCAGCGCTGCCAGGGGTGCCCAGGGTGGGATTGTTGGAGGGTCTGCGCAAGGACAGGGGCTGCACTGGGTGATCCTGGTGGGTCCCTCCCAACTCAGGATATTCTGTGATACCTGTACCTAAAAAACCTAAATTGAAGTGCCACACCAGGACAGCCACATGGGTCTTCACCAATTAAAACTACCTTAACAACCAACCAGATACAAATACAGGAGCCAAAGCAACAAACTCTCTTCATCCAAGAGACCACATTTCCCATTGGAAGGAAGTTCATGCCCACCTGCCTTAACAAGGTCCAAACAATCTCATGCCACTGAGAATTTACACCAAATTATTGTGGGTTTGGTTTTGGATTTTTTTTTTTTTAACAGAGATAAGATTCTAACCCTATCCAGGTTTCACGCTAAATTCATCACACATTCTGCAATATAAAAGCTGTTTAACACTCCCCTTTATCTTCTTCCTTTAGAAGTGGAATTACTGATATCTCAATCATTGCAATAAACTCCTGAATTACTGCGAACTCAGCTCCACAACAGACCGGGCAACTTCCTGTTCAGACTCAAATATCCAGTCAGTAACCGACAGTACAAACTTCCAACCAGTGCCAGCAAATACCCAATGCCAGGAAATATCAACCCTTAGTGCCATTCTGACCTCCTGCACATTGCTCTTCTGCATTACAACATCATTTGGATCTCAGGCGAAATTAAAGCCAGTCGGTCTCACAAAGCACATAGAGATACCAGCTTTCCAAGAGAGGGAAAACACAGGAAAACCACAACCCACCACAAAAAAACTCATTAAACAAACCAACAAAAAGGTGTATTTCTCAGGATACGAGGTGAACGTCGGAAACTGCTTCAGAGGGGCGGCTCAGACGTTTATCCACGCAATAAACGATCCCGATGCTAAGAACACAGCGCATGGCTGGTGCCCTTGGGTATCCCAGAGACAGCGAAGCTGGAGCACAGCAGGGCCCGGGTGCCCCACCGACCCACAGGGCCCTCAGCGGAGCCCGCGGGCCTTGTGCTGAGCGCGGAGCCCCGGCGGGTCACGGCTCCCCACGGCAAGGGCAGCCCGGCGGCCTTGGGAACCGCAGGGCCCGCCTGGCACCTTGGGAACCGCAGGGCCGGGCTGGCGCTTCTCCCGGGGAGCGCCGCCTGCACCCACACAGAGCTCGCTCCGCACCTCCACCTTCACGTCCCAGGGCTGCCATCCCCTCGGGCCCCTCGGTGCCCCGGCCCTCAGCCCTCGGTGCCCCGGCCCGCCCTGAGGGGATGAGGGGCGGCCATGGGCCCCTCAGGCGGGATGGGGGGGGGGGCGCGGGGGGCACGAGACCTTCCCCCCCCCCCCGAGCCCACCCGTCACTCACCGCGCGAGCGCCACGAGCCGCGGCCTTGCTCCGCCCCCTCGGCCAAGCCCCGCCCCTCGGTTTTGCTCCGCCCCTACGCTCAAGCCCCGCCCCTAGAGCAGCCCCCAGTCCTCGCCCTTCGCCGTGCCCGATAAGCCCCGCCCCTTTTGACGTGTCCACGAATCGCCGTCCACGTGTACAGGCAAACCCCGCCCCTCAGTGCTATAAGCCACGCCCCCACCCCGCTGCGCACTGAAGCCCCGCCCCTGTGACGTCACGCCCAAGCCCCGCCCCCCGCGCCGGTGCCGCCGGGCCGTAAAGCGCCGCCGCCGCCCGCCCGTGCCCGCCCCGGCGGCCGCCGGCCATGTTCGCGGCGGCGGAGGAGGACGACGCCGATTTCCTGTCCCCGGCCAGCGGGTGAGCGCCGGGGGCGCGGCGGGACCCGCTCCCCGCCGCCGGGTGGGCGCAGCGGCCCGGGTAGGCCGCGGGGCCGTGACCCCGGTGAAGGCCCGCAGCGGTGAGGGGCGGGCAGGCCGCCCCTGTGCAGCCGGGGCTGCCCTCCTGTGACCGGGGCTGCCCTCCTGTGCCCGGGGGTGCGGCCGGGGCTGCCTCCCGTGACCGGGGGTGCGGCCGGGGCCGTGCCCCGCTCTGTCCCGCTGCGGGAGCGCCGTACTCGCAGCCCAGAAGGCTCCGGCTGCCGGCGCGGCTCGGAGCGGCCCCGGTGTGCCCGGGGCAGCGGGTTCGATACCCGGCCTGGGGGCTCCGCTTTGCTTGGGGACCTTCCGGGATCTCCGGGGCTCGGTGTTTCCACTTGAATAAGGTGCGGTTTGGGGCCGCTGGCTCCTCCCGGGCTGCCCGCCGGGATCGCGGCTGTGCGCAGCTCATCCAGGTTTTTGTATCGCTGGCAAGAGATACAAGCTCCAAGAGCTGCAGTTCCACTCCCCACCCCCTTCCAGGAGCTTTCCTTATAAACTAATCTTCTCTCTTTATAAAAAGTTCAGTTGTGTTTCAAAGGAGATTCATTGGCAGTGGTGGCATCCTTTGTTTGAATTATTCCCTTGCCCCGTGGTATCAGGAATAGGTTGAGCATAACTGGCCTTGAAGCAGTGAAATTTCAAACAATGTATCCTGAAGGAATAACCTCCAGCATTAAACCCTCTGCCCTTAACTGGGAGAGTGTCTCCCATTTTAAAAGTTAATGGGAGAATGTGTTGCCTGGACATTTAAATACAAAAGACTCCAGGACCTGAATGGTGTTTCTCTGTCAAATATTTTGGGTATTGTAAGAATCAACTATTACATATCAAGCTACTTCTAGTCATTGCTTCAAAGTAACTTTTTTTTTTTGTGTAGTTTCAGTTCTTACACCTTCAGTCGATTTTTGAGGAAATGAAACACAATTGTGCCACTTTCCCAACCTCTTCATCTACAAGTTCTGCCTATTCAAAATTAAATTGTTAATTAGCATAAAGCAACTTAACCTGCAGCCCTTTGTTTACTTCCAAAGTATAATGCCCATGTTAAATAAGGCTAAATGGTTTTATTTCCCTTTCTAGAGCCAGATTAGCCTCTCTCTTTGGCCTGGATCAAACAGTCTCAAACCAGGGAAATGAATTCTTCCAGTTCACTGCACCAAAGCAGCCCAAGAAGGGTCAGACAGCAGCTGGTGAGTAACTGGGCTTGAGTATGGGGAACACACTCAGCAGCACATGTGTGTGGGGAGAACAGGGGCCCTGGTGAAAAGCAGAAGAGTAAATAATTTCCTGAGCTTTCCTCAGGGATCTTTTCCTCCAGTGCCTTCCTACACCTGGATTTTCAGCTGGCCTTGGGTGACTTTGAAACACAAGTCTTTGTTTCTTTGTAATTTCCTACTGGAGTTATTTTTCCCTGGGGGAAGGAAGGTGTTGTGGTGGTGCCAGCAGCCAGTCCTGTGCCTCTGACAGCTGTCCCTGTCTCTGTCCCCACAGGCCAGCCCCAGAAGGCTCCAGTGGCAGCCTCAGGAGCCCCCTCGGTGCTGGTGGCCACCGCAGTGCTTGCGTATCGATAGTGAGTGACTTCTGCTGCAGTCTGTGTCCCTCATCCCAAAGGGGAGATATTCCTGGATAAATGGGAAGAGACAGTTGTTTTCAGACATATCTGCATGGTGGGAATGCTTCAAGGCAATGGAAGTTTCTGCTCAAGAAAATTTCAGTTGCTGAGCTGCAGCTCTGGGTGAGGAGGTTCTGAGATAAAGAGCGAGCTGTGGGTTTGGCTGTGGCTGGGAGCTGTGTCCTGGCTGCTGGGCTGAGATGTGCACTGCTTCAGGAGGCTCTGTCACATCCTTGTGGTTCATACACTTGAGAATTGAGGCATGAGCAGAGTGAGAGAGAGCACTATAACTGTTTGGTGCTGCCATGATGGAAAAACACTTCTGCCCTGGATCTGTGAGGGCAGTTTTCAACTCACTGCACAATGTGTGCTCTTGCCTGTGGGCAAGCAGGAATGTCTCTAAGCTAAGCAAGACTGCCTGACATTTCATACTTGAGGAAAGGGATCTGAACTCTAAAGAATTCTGAGTTAGGGACAGTTGTGCAGCTGAATGTCTCCCTTATCTTGCAGTACAAATGGGCAGTACTTGAAGCAAGGCAAGTATGGAGCAGCTGTAGTGGGGAACCATGCCACCAAAGAGGTGAGAGACACTTCCTTCCCTAATTCTGCCATGCTGAGGGCTCACTGCTGTGAGTTGGTGTTTTTGTGAGCTCTCCAGGTGTTTTGCTTTTGATGTTGTTCTCCTGCTGCCATTCTGCCTCCTGGGTTTTCTTGGGGCTCAGCCACCCACCTTGGTGACATCTCTCTTTCCTGCAGTCTGTGAGTTTGTAAGATCCCTTACAACTTGTGCCTAAAATAGTTTGCAGTGTTTCTGGAAGTAATTTTGGTATTTATTCCAAATGTCTTTGACAACTGGATCATGTATTTGTGCACATGGAAATGGATATAAAGGAAAATTCTGTCCAGCAGTACAGAGATGCTTTGCTTAAGTTTTATTCTTTTTGTATAAAAAACATCTTTCCTTCCCAAGTGTTTGGAAGACCAAAGAACTGAGGTGCCCAGTAAATTGGTGTGTTTGAAAGTTGATTTGAAAACTCTCACCCATCCCTGGTGTTGGTATTTGTGATGTTTCATATCCCCCGAGTCCTCATTCATGTCTCACTAAGGTGCTTCTGCTTTGGCAAAACAAAATAAATCTTAGTTTGGTAACTAAATTCCTGAGTCAGTGATCTGGGAAGTGTTGAGCTCTGTTGTTCTGGGGGAGCTGGGGAGGAGAGGCAGTGCAGGAGGAATCTGAACCAGCTTTCTTCAGGCTGCCTGTGTGATATCACATCTGGCTGGGGGCAGTCAGTGGGTCACTCCCCATTCACCACTGAGCTGTGTCCAGTGGAGGTGCACAAAGGAAATCACATTTCCATAATAGATTATGTTGAGTAGAGCCAAATATGTCAATATATCTCATATCTGTGCTGTTTAGTACTTTGAAAACTCCATCCAACTCAGTGTGTTGTTTCAATAGGTTAATGCAAAGATAAAAAACCTCTTTAGGGAAAATGTCTTTCCCAAACGGGTGATCAGGGCCTGGCAC